AATAAAATGGCACTGGCTTTTAGATTACTGGGTTTTAACTGTTGAATTGTGTACATATACACAGTGGTTAAAAAGAAATATCTCCATGAAAATAAAACTATCTTGCCAATCTTATGTTTCACAAAGCATGATCTAACTAAACAGCATTTACCACTTACACAGCAACATTTCATATTTCTAATTTTGTAGATCAGCATACCTGTCTCCTTCTAATTTTGGTATATCTGAGCAACTAGATGAATCTTCTAGCCATGCTAGTGTTGGTCTCCTTGAGTCAACCCCTGAGCTCTGTTCTCCTGATAACATAAGTTGCTGCACAATAGCTGGATCATATGCATTGATCTCAAATTTTAAGTGGACCTGAGAAATAACAAAAACACAGAAGAGGTCTTTGATTTGAATCAAGATATACTTAACTGTAATTAGGGTAAGTATTTAATAAAAACTAGTTGTTTATATTATGTACCTTCATAAGTTTGGAAACATCCCATATGCAGATCTTTCCTCGTTTTGTTGCAGCAGCTAGAAAATGAGGGCAACTTCCAGATCCAAAACAGGCTATTCTGTCAGTGCCATCTGTGCAGGGAAATTGTGCTGGACTTGTTGCCAGTGTGACTGAAAGAGGTACATTCTGAGTGTGCTCACCCTTGACAAATGGGCAGTTAGGGGAATGTCTCTCATGCTCGGACCTTTAATATTAAAAACAAACACAGCAAACATTGGTTTCTTACTGTGAAGAATACACACGTCATATATAAACTCAGCCCTTGAAGTGAAGCTGAAACTGAACTGTTTGAACTGTACTGCAGTCAACCATACAAGAGAGGAGTTATGAAGCTACTAACACAGCTTTCCCTGCTGTTTCTCAATAGCACGACTGGTATTAAAGCCTTTGATCACTTAATAGATATTGATATTCAAATGGGAGGAGTCTACACACAGTGCTCTTACTTAGTCCATTTTAAAATATAATTGTTCTGTAGGAAGTAGCCCATCATTTCCTCATGAAGAAAAACCCAGATTAAATTCTACAGAACATACATTAGAATTCCAGTGCTATGAGACACCATCCCTGGAAACACTCAAGGCTAGATTGGACAGGGCACTGATCAAACTGGTCTAGCTGCAGACGGCCCTGGCTCATTGCAGGGGGTTGGTCTAGATAACCTTTAAAGGTCCCTTCCAACCCAAACCATTCTGTGATTCTATGATTATTATAAGTAACCTTAACAAGATAAAGCAATGTCCTGTCTTTAGTTCTACATCCACATTTACAAAAATCAAAATTGAAAACCATCCTGAATAACAAATTGACCAAGAAACATGGAAAAACCTCTTCATCTCAATATACGCAGAGACATGGCAAAGCAATTACACTACTACAAAATGTCTGGAAACTAACAAGGGAAAGGAGGAGACAAGATTAAGAAAATATTACAAAGGAAAGTTTCCAGCAAGTCAAGAATATGATGTATTCGAATAACGATTATAAATTACCAGATAAAAAAGACAAAAAGTACGTTAAGAACCCTGTTAAAATCACTATAAGGCACTGCATTTCTATCACTATGCACAATTTTAGCTAATTCAGGAAACTAGTAAAGAATCTTGCAACTTCATGTAAAAGGCAAATACGCACTGCATCGCAATTGCAGTTTAAGAACTTAAAGATGTGTTCTAGTCCCAATCATACAGAAGATTTAGTTTAGATTCCAAAAGAAATGTTGTCTGCCATCTTTGCCATGGAACAATTAGAAATGAAATAGCAAATCGGAAATAAGAAATAAAACTAACTACAATCGATTTGGTTTAGTATTATACAAAAATTTGACATAGTAAAGGGAATTATTTTGTGATTTGTCCCATGGAATCATTCTGGAAATCCATTTTTGTCAGTGATGCTCCCTAAACTCACCAGAAATCCCATCAAGATAATGGTTCTCTTTGTCCTCCAAAGATTTCTAACCACTCCAGCACAAAACATCAAACTTACCAAGGTTCATCTGTAGGCTCCCAACATACCAAACACACACTACAGGTAAAACACATGGCTCTGTCATCTCCTGATGAAGCAGGCTGTAAAATAAGCAGCAGCATTTGAAATGTATATACCTATGTATTACAAAACACTTGAACCAGGTGATCAAGTCATCTTCTAGTGGCATAGCAAAGCACCACATCAAAAGTACATAAGGCCACAAATTACAACTATAAAGCGGCAGTATTTAACTTTTAAAAATAAGTAAATAAATAAATATACTGCATTAGTACAGAAGAGATTCAGAACCAACACATGTGCAAGCCACTTGCTAAAAACCACACAGACAGAACAGAACTCATCATTACTGGTAAGGTTTTTTTGTAATTTGGAAAAAGTTCACGAGGTTCAAAAAATGTAGAACCTCAGAATAGCCACTGCATGCTTGGATAAACACAGGTTAAACAAGTATTTCCTACTATGCCTTCAATCTGCTGGAATATAAAGCATTTTCTATCACTTCTCTGCAAAGAACAGTTGCTACTTGCTGAAGTGACAAGGAAAAAGAACGGAAATTTCCATTTTCTTCAAATCTAGCATTTTCATGACATTTCAAGTAACAGAGATATACTTGAGAATATGCAGATGCAATTCTGACATAGAAATTCCGTGGTTTTCCTCCTAAACAAGCTTAAGAAATTTTCCAAAAACTTTCTCCATTTGCACCTATGTGGCTTTGTAGTTGACATAACGAAGCAGACAATATTGATGTCAAATGATATGCCCTGCCTAGCCATCATTATTTAAATCCCTAAGATAAATAATTCTTCATAGTAGAAATAATTTCAGAGAATGAAAAATAAGCAAAAGTAGTGGAATGAAACGTTGAGGTTGTATTTATTCACTAAGCTTAATAATTTAGTAATGTGATCTAGGATTGTTGTTTATTACAGAACATTTGAAGTCCCACTAGAAAAGTATGGTTGAAGAACTCTGATGTCAAGCTTATTGCTTTTTTGCTTTCCTTATAATACTTATAAAAGATAAAGATATTTACTCAATAGTCTAACAAGGAGAGAGACTCAATGTAACAACCAGCTTCATCATTATTACTGTTGTTTAACTCAGATCAATTTAATACTTAGAAGTGTTTTATACGCTGAAGTTCAGAACACTATTTTCTGTGATTTGTAAAACGGAAGCAACCTCAAAGCACGGAAAAAACATGAAACCTTTTCTCCTTGCTCGCCAAACCCTCACCTAGAGAACAAACACTATTATGAACAACTGAACTTTTTTACCTGGTGATAGAACCCAGCTTGAGCCATAGGATCTGGCTGTGCCCACCTATAACCCACATGAGGCCATGAAGTGAATGTCTCTCGTCTGTTAGCTTCACTATACATCAATGACCTACAAAAGTAAAAAAGTCTACATTACCTAAAACTGCCACTTAGAATAAAAAAAGTAAACTATTTATCAGGTATTTTCAATGCTCTAGTAACCATTAGAAATACCACAGATTGTTGATTATGACAATTTTAAGTACAAGTTATAACTATTACAGAAAAGTTAAAGTTCTTTCACTTTGGTGCCTAAGGTACATTCTCCACAGAAGACCAAAAGCAATACAACAACTTACAGGTTTTAAAAGCAAGATAAATACAACAAGCTTCTAGGCAGCCTATTTGGTCTAACTGAAGAGAAGCATCACATACGAAGCTACTCTGCACTTTGTGAAGGTGCAGAATCTAGCCCAACAGAACTGCTAGAGAGATGTTGTTTGGTTTTTTTAAACACGGCAACTACTGTAGAAATTTGGCATTATTAGTTGAACAGATAGGAATATGCATATTTGAAAACACTCCAAAGTGATATTTTAGGCTGAACTGAATACATGGTACCAACCCCACAAGATTTGTCACTCACTGATAGTATAATACTTAAAAATTATAAACTATTAAGTCACAAGATATGAATTCCTCTGCAACTCAACATCCACAGAGAAAAGAAGCACCTCTTCCACCTTTACCCAGTGCATGTCCCTCATCTGAAATAGCACATAAGAAACAACTATCAGCTTTTCCTTTTTCTTGATGGAAGTTTTTTCTCCAGTATCATCCCAAGAACTAGTGCTGCTAGATAGAAAAGTGCCTCACTTCTTGTTTCTGTCACTTAGTTTCAGGAGATTTTTTCTGTGTTATAAGAGAACAGATATATTAAACATTTCCTACCAAGGAAGTAAACTAGTCCTGCAACATCCACATAAGGGCTGTGTTAACTTGATGTTATACCATTTTAAAGAGACAGATCTTGGAAAGCTCTAATCAAAAATACAATACAGCAAGGTACAGATAGACTTGGGGAGGGGAAATATGAGATGAAATTAAATCTTATAAAATTTTTTGAGCTGTAAGAAATTATAGTAAGTTTACAAAATAATATTTCTATAGAAACTTACTAGATGGAATTATAGACTTAGAAGATGCATTAGTATTCTAACTAGTCTCGGCTTATGTAGATTAAAATAATGGGTTACTCACTTGTGTGCACATTATTACTTGGATCAGAAAGAGATGAAGCAACAGTTTGAGGCAAAATCTTCTCTGATCCCAAACACACAGCAGCTGACTAGAGAGTTCATAAATAGCATATATATACTCTGCACAGGTAACAACTTCCTAAACTTCTAAACCACAAAACATAGGCATAACTTTTTCTTATATGAAAGAACTGATTTCATGATGCAGCATAGTATGTATGCTTTATCTTTGGTAGACAAACGAGTGCTCTCTTTACATTCAAAGAAGCATACGTATGCTCTTAAAGCTATGCAGTTTCTGAACATGTCAACATCGCAGTCTCAGTAAGGTCTCAGTTCCAGTTTAAGTAAAGCCAATAATGTAATTAACTAGTTATACACACTTGACTGTTCAGATAAAGCCTATAATCAAACATGCGGAAAAGTAAAGCCTAGGTGAGCATATCACATTAATGTGTTACAATACCACCTAGGGATCTGTATTCAGGGCTCCAGTTGTTACCTTTTTGAAAGTATATGTAGGGATTAAGAGAAAAGTGCACTCAATTTGCCTGGCAATGAAGACAGTAACCAAACAAAGAAGTCTTGTGGCACCCATGAAAGTTTCTCTAAGTTTAGTGATCTGTCCGGCACAATGTGCATTAAACAGTTCATTACTGTCATGTGCAAGAGCAAGAAAATACAGAATAGGACTAATTCCTTTGGCAAATAAATTAACATCATCTAAGATCTTATTCTGATATAAGTAAGGGGTTAAATTCATCACTTATTTTGTCTTAATATACCTGTCCACAGATCGACCGGGTCCCACACCAAGTTCTGGTCGAGCGCTGGGCAAGAGGTAAGATAACCTATCCATCACAGAGGATGCTACAGGTAAGGCAGCAATATTTTGATTTATCTTCTTGAGTTCATTTACAATGGCACTGGCGACAGACTTCAAGACATGATGAGGAAGGTGGAACGTAACCGTTGCCCACTAGAACAAGAATAAAAAGCACCTACTTTATATTTAAAAGTTTTAACATCTAAAAATCAAAGAGATCACAAAAGTGTCATAAGCAAAAACAAATGCACACCTTGATTTCAAGACACAATACAAGGACAGACACACAAAAGCTACACAAACATAATGCAAGCAAAGTCAGTAACTCCAGATTTTAAGCTTGGTTGGGTTTATTAGTTGGATTTATCATCAAGAAATTAACCTTGTTTGTTCCTTTAACAAGCGAAACTTCAGAGGAACTAAGGAACACATAATACATTCTATCCTCTTCAATCAAAATCCACCACACTAAGTCAAGCATTTTGTTTGCTTCAATGACAGCCAAACAAATTAGACTTGGAAATCCATGCTAGGCAGTACAGAGACAAATTCTTACCTTTGCAACTTTATGATTTGCTGCTGTTTCATGTGAGGTATTTTTTAAACCATCCTTCAGTTGTGTGATGAATAAGTCATATCCCTCTGTGCTAGAAACATCTACTTTTTCTATGCAAGCAGATAACAGCTGCTGAGCCTAAAATGCATATATGCAAGAAAAGTTAGCACCCACACTGAATAACTACAGACAAGAATTACACCCGTTTCATTGCTCTGGGAAATGTAATTTGGCATATCCTACTTTACCATATATTATATCAGCATAATTCCCATAAAAGACCTAGAGTTGAATAAGCAGTTCCAAATTTTACTTTGTAGGCCAACTAATGGATAAAATTCAGCAATAGTGACAGTAATTACAGCAACTTCCCTCAAGGGCAGTATTACCAAACATTAAACGTGTCAGTCATACAAACAATTAAAACACAACAAATACTAAAGTCAAGAAAAAAAAAGAAAAAAAAAAGACATCTATTGCCCAATGTTTTCCCTTCATAAAGGATTAATTCAGCTTTAGGGACAAACAGTGAGAGCAAGAACGAAGCCTTGATATTTCTGAGTAGCTCTGGATCCTAAAAATAGTAAATGATAATGAAAAAAACCCTACACTGCAACAAAATTAGAGATAAATTACTTACAATGCTAGTATAATGAAGCTGAAAAGTTAGACAAGAAAAAACAGGCTAGTTCAGGATCTAGAAATCCTTAAAACTCACAAATAAGGCATCTAGACAAGAACATATATAGACTTATTTTCTTCCAAGTCCCATCTGTTTCTAGCTTGTCTGCTAACTTCATGTTGCCAGGTAAGATTTAAAGGTGCAAAAGCACAGAGTATTCTGTATCTTTTGTTAGGTTGGCTAACATCTGAAAAATGTTACACGAAATCTTTCAAGTTACATACATAAGGAAGTATTTCCCAAGGGCAATGGCCACGTGGTTACATCCTTGTCCTTGGGGAGTTCAGGGGAAGACAGACAGAAATAAGATGAATCAGTCCCCTTGCGAAGGTTGTATCTGTTTCTCAGATTTCAATATAAAGACAATTACAATTTTTGTGGCACCTCATACTTCTCAAATCTTGCAGATGACAGAAGAAAAACAGAGAGATTGTGGAAGTTCATAAATTTACAGTGTTCTATGCGGAAGTAAAAACTGCACAGAGGCTGCATCATAACTTGCCAATGCTGCCAATTCAAATGCATGAAGATACACTGCATTATCAGCAGATCAATCACACAAAAAGACTACTTAAGTGTAAAAGTTTGCAGGAAAGTTCTAGAGACTAACAGAATATAGAAGCTCTTGCTTTCCTATGACGAAAGAGGTGGACTGATGCATTTGTATGATACTTGTTTCATATTTACTAAAATTTCCTGAGGTCTGGGTATCTCCTGTTTAAAATTAAAAGAACTGAAGACTGCAAATGTTCTTCCTCCCACCTCACTGATTTGACCATGAACTCCCCAAATCCGTTCCTACTGAACTACAATATTTTCCTTCTCCCCTCTTCCCCCAACAGGAAGGACCTTTACAGAGAAGTGCTCTATTTTAACCTTGAGATAATGGTCTGTAAACTCTTTAGAACCAAAGAATCTTTAGCTAAAACTGACACAAACTTACAGGCTGTATTGAAACATGTTACACTGCAAATTGATGACAGCAAAACTTATGAAAGGAAATACCGACTTCTCTCAGTCTCTTCATACTCGGCCACGCACCCCAAGATTTTGTAGTTACCCACAAAAGATGTAAAAGTGACACCAATGGCAGAGAGCTTGAGGAACCTGGAAAGCTTTCCTTGGAAACCTCTATGAAGCAACATTTTATTGCTGTTACTCCTACTCAAGACAAGTAGTTAAAAACCTTACACACACATTCTTAGCTCATAATAAGCACCTACTTACTATCCAATACTCCAAGAGCACATAAATATTTTAAACCAACACCAAAGGTAAACCAGTGCAATGAAATCCAAAGCATTACACTCCAAGCAAAAACATGTACGCTGGACTCTCTTAAGTGGTAACAAGTGCTTGCTTATATTGCCCCAAATCAGAAGCGATCACATTACAGCTGCAATAGTCCAGACATAAAATGGAGGCTTTTTTTTTTTTTGCAGAGAAAAAGTCTTCCATTAGGCCAACTGACCTGGCTAGAAAAGTTCAGATTCCAGCATTAATTCTTCACATGCAGCAACACCATATTACCTGATTTTATTTATCTTCTTTCCCCCTGAAAGCCTAAAACAAACAAACAAACACCTCAAGGATGCCTAGCAGCCCAGACTGACTTTAGAAGTACACATGATTCCATACTTAGCTCTGGAAATGAGTCTTGATTTCTGGTCACTAAAAAGTTCTTCCATCTAAAATAATGTACTCATGACTGAGGCACGCTCTTATTTGCTAGAGATACAGATAACTGCAAAAAGCTATTGCCTTGTGACAGGTAATAAAAAAGAAACCTTTCCATTACATGCTGTTAGTATCACACTAGAAACCCAGGGTCAAACGTCTTGTTTCAGTGTTTCTGACAGTGTTATTTACATCCTCTTTCCCCCGCCTCCCCACACATCTTACCTCTGTAACTGGCAATTCAAGCTGAACCACGTCATCTTGTTTTGAAACAGGCGTTTGCAGAGCTGTGTCTAATAGTAAGATGCCATTGAGATCTTTCCTACATCCTACTGCATAATCATCCACAAAGATCACTTTATCCACAGCAGAAATATACTGACATTTTACCCGTCCACCTGGTTTAGCTACAAAGGGAAAGGCAAAAAACAAGATCTGATTAGAAAACAGCTTTTATAAAAGACCTCTAATACCTGTTCCAGAAATTAATGTAATACTTCAGCAAAGTCTTTACTTGAGTGATCAAAACCTATCATTTTAGGTACCACACCTGTCACCAAACTGCATTTCCTACATTAAAAAACAAACAACCAAAATGTATACATCCCATCAATAATTACAACTATTTTTATTCCCATAGTGAAAGCCATCATTCAAGTCCTCCTCCTACCAGGAGGCCTAAACTAGTGTTTTCAAGCCTAATGTAGATCCCTGGTGTACTTGATGTTAGCTGACAACCAATAATAAGAATTAAATTGCACAAATCAGCATGAAAATTACAACAAAATTGCTAAACTACCATTAAGGCTGATTAACGCCATTTCATCAATCAAAACAACACTCAAAAACTAAGTACAGCATATAACATGTGCCAGTGCTACACATGTTCCTTCAGACACTAATGCAGCCTATTTCTGCCCAGTGCCACACACAGGATATCAGTTACAGGTTAGAGGAGTTTGGTGGGGGGTGAAGGAAGACTGTGGCAATGGATATTATCCCCAAAGATGTTTAATGTTGCTCGTTGTTATATGTCTAAGGCTGGATGGATTGCAAAACTAAATCCATGTAATATGCTATCTGTGTAGAAGGCAAATTGCTTTAATTCATGGGAAGTCTAAGCTATTGCTATAGAAGCTGACTACACATACGTTTTAAGTAAATGGACACATCATCCAAAGTGCAAAGCTGAAATCGCGGGATCATCAACACAGATCTCTTCTTGTTGCACTGGAACAGAAGTTTCATTAAATGCTGCATTAATCAAGTTGAGCCTCTGTTCTCCTCTTTCTGCAGGCACTGGATACTGGCTTTATTATGAATAATTAAAAGCCACCACTAAGGTAGCTGACATACAGATAAAGCATCCAGATAAAGACAGCCACTTAAATCTGCCATCTACACACTTTGATAATAGTTAAGTGGAAATTAACACTTCTCCAAATATAGGGTATATCAAGCTGACTACACTGCATTTGCGGTATCCTCTCTTGAAAACTCAGATCAAGAATAGTTGTCAGCTGCCCTTCTTACCAAAACTTTGGAAACAATGACTCACAGACTCTCAAAATATGACATAAGCCCTTGCCTGCATGAAGTACATTGCAATTGTAATCACTGCTGTGAATGTTCCCAACTTTTTTCAGAAACACTTCAAGAGGCCTGGAATCACTTGATAGTTGTCAAGTTGTTAGCCCTAGCTCAACATAAAAAGGTCCTCTGAATGGCAAATCTAGTAGTTCCAAACTGTATTTTTGCCAATACATTGGAGTTCCTCACACACGACTTTATACAGACAACACAGCTGCAGCAAGGAAGTAAGTCACTCTACAGAAAAAAAAAAAAACCAACAAAAAAAACAACCAAAAACCACCCAAAACAACAGTTTTGATTAAAAAAAAAAAAAAAAAGAAAAAAAGAAAATATAATTTTTAACATCTTTAGAAGTATTGGTTTCAACAATGTTCAGAAAACACATTTCAAGACGGTTCTACTACTAGTCATAAACTAGTTCACAGGTGGCTGGCCATATGATTAGAACAATGGGTTGAGAACCAGGAAACTAAAAACTTTACAAGTCACCAGTATAGAAGAAGTCACCGCTGTAGAAGAAATGCCTAGAAAAGTTTAATCACCCTCAAAGCATTGGCAGAAAGTTCCTTTCTAACTCAGGATCAACATTTTACAATGTGCCAAAGGACTCTGACCTATATACTTTGAAAAACCTACTGGCACTACTACATTATGTCCCGCCTGCCCAGCCTGGCTAAGTTTACTAGAAGTAAGTAGTGATCTGCATCTTCACAAATCACTATTTAAAACTTTCACGTAAACTCACTAAATGACCTAAGCCAGATCATCAAAACCCAACTTCATCCTCATTTTATCCCTAATTCCTTCAGCTTTCATTTATGGGAGGAAAAAAAGCCATTCAAAGTTTTTAACAATTTTGCTTTTAAATCTTGGCACAAATGGATCATGGCTTCTCCCAATATCTCCAGTTATCTATCTAGGATTAAAACCAAAACAACTCACAAAGAAGTCGTTAAGCCTTCTGTCAGTTCCTATAAGGAAACCCAGCAGGCTGCTTGCATGCTGGAAGTGGAAGCCCAATAGCATACTACATCATGGTACAACATCTATAACAACCTTAGAGCTAGCAACCTGAAAATTAAAAGCAAATAAACAACAGATTGCAATGAAGAATTTGAGAAAAGGAACATTCCCCTCCACCTTCATTGTTCGAACAATACAAAACAGAGATCAGCAATTTCCTGTGACCAAAAACTGACCTACAAAAAGTATTACAGAAAACAAACTTATTCAGAGAATATGTAACAGTCTAAGCAGCATCTATTGTGCCTATCTGCAGGCAGTGAGATGAACCAAACTAATTAGAGATTTAGCCTTTCATGTCAAGAAGTAGAACGAAAAGCTTGTCTCCGTTTCTCTGATACAGATAAGCTTTAAAGCTTTGAGGCTAAAGCTAAGAGAAAGTGGTTGTCACCTGAGTATGCATGGCCACCATCATGAAGAGATGTAGGTTAATGCTGATAGTAACACCTTTGATCTTTTCTAAAATTGAGCAAAGTTCATTCACCTTGAAAACTGCTAGCCAGGAATGGCACTAAAACATATCATAAAGTCAGTAATTCTCTTGACAAGGAACTCCCAATGCACAGTATGCAAAACCAAAAACTGTTTCTAAATTACACTAAACTAATACTTTTATCTACAGCTATGAAGTGATCCTTGTAAACACATGCATCACAGCACTAGTGCCATAATGCTAAGATCCAAGATCAATCAAATATCTAAAGGAACATCCATAAACTCAATCTACGAATACAATTAGGTCTTTAAATTAAGAATTAAAGTAACATTTTTGAGAAACAGAAATCCCATCAGCTCAGCAAAACACGTGCACACATTAAGTGCACTGAGCCCACTCTTTGCACTTCTCATTTAAACTAGAATATCCAAACAATACCTCAGTACTCATTTGAAAATACTGCAACCATGGGAATCTAAATGGATAAAGTTTTGGGAAATCAAAAGCCCTATCTATCCTACTAAGTCTGTATCATTAGATTTGAACATCAAGCTATTTAAAGGCATGAGAATCCAAAAACTCGAGAGAAGGGAATGGTACAGCTGCAGAAGTCTTTACAATTTACTGTTAGAATTAAAAATTTATTCCCGCTCCTCTCCTTCTATTGTGAAGTGTGGGTGTAAAGCTTCCAGTTTAGGCACTATTATCACTCCTGGTAATATGCTGTGTGAAATTCTCCTTCCAGAAGCCAGGTCAGCAGACAGCAAAACCATCCTTTCGACTGGAGATAAAAATGCTTCCTGACAGAATATTGCTCAGCTACTTCCACACATTTTTCAGATGTACCTGGGATTAAAAAAAATGTATGTATCAGTTGTCCTCATTTGCTGTGAGGCAGGTACCTTTCCTAATTGCTACCATTTCACCTATTCATAAAACCAACTGAAAAATCCAGTTAGCAAGTGTAACATCTTCCTGTATGCTACCCAAGTGGCACACAATAAGATATGCCAAGGCAAGCATACCAGAACCCTTGCAGTTTGAGGAAGTTCTACAGTGCAAAAAGAAAAAAAAAAAAAAAGTTTTAATGTTTAACTTGCTGGCTTAACTTGCTGTATTTGCAGGAAACTATTCTGGACTAGTACTACAGAAAACTAGTACTACATAACTATGGATTAACTTGCAGTGGGTAGTATTTTCGCATAAAAGAGGACAAAAAACCAAACCACTGCAAGTCTGGTTTAAAAAGGATAAAGTTGTCTTTACACTGTTTTACACCAGTGGCTCCCAAAGGAAACCAAGCCATGGTGGTTACGAACATTTGGGAACACAGTAATGAAAAGATGGCTAAGGGGTGACCAAACCAAGCCATGACTGCTCATCATTATTGAATTTATCCATTACAGATCGTCTCTTGTTCCTCCTCACCTACATCCTCAGTGGGAACTTCAGCAGTACACTTTTATCTTCCAGGTCTGGGCCTAGCCCCTTATTTGCTCTAGACATCACCTCAGCAGAGCAGCCACCATGAAGCCCATGGGTCCCTCCTTTCCAAAAGAAAAGGATTCTCCAACTTGAGGAAAGGATGGAAGGGAATCTATTGGATGAAAACAAGTTCAAGTTGCTATTTTAAATGAATGATGTAGATGGCTTTAAACCAGCTATACAAAAGCAACGTTTTCTCTTTTAGTTTCTGCTATATACACACACCTTCATGTGCCACATACACTGCAAAGCAGTCTAAAATGACTGAATAAAGCAAAACCACATTCAGAACTGCAACATGAAATAAAACTAAAAACATTCTCCAAACAGCAAGAATGATAGAGGATGAAGAAGTACTCAGCTTAACATCACAAAGCGCCTTCAGACTCCCTTATTTGCCAAAATGGCATTTAGTTAATCAAGAATGTGATCTACAGTTTATCTTTTCCTTTAGCAACAAACAGGACAGAATTGTTTCAGTAGCAGTTCATTATATGACAGCTTGTTTAACAATCCTCATTAGAGTAGGAAGATGTGTTTTCTGGGCCAAAGCATTGGAGACTGATACATGAATATTAACTTGATGTATCTGATCAAGCAACTACTAGAAGCTAAGATTAACACTTAAAAGGTTTCAGAACATAAACAAAACCCCACTGAGATCAAGGCAGTTCATATCCGACTAGCTTTGCAGGCATAGGGTCCTCCTCTACTCTATTTTTTTTTGAAGACACTGGTGAGCTCTTTGTGCCCACGCTCTTCATGTGGTTTCAGATCTCCATGTATCTAACATTACTGCTGCCTTGTATGTCATACAGAACGCAATTGCTCACAGAGCTTTATACTATTATCCTGAGAACAAATT